GAATATTGCAATAGCATATTATAAACATAAATGATAACAGTCAAAACGATTCCTATTTATGTAGTTGCTCTAAACAGCTCGTTGCATTTCTCTGCTCCACAGGTACAGCAAAAAAACTAAAACAAAGCCTCACTATTTGTCACATCATAACCAAAAAAAAAAAAAAAAACATCATCCTTAGCATACTCTCTGCCCAATATATATTCTCTTTTCACTACCTGCTGCTTCTGACTGCTGGCCATGCAATGTCTGGGTCTTTCTCTCTCTCTGCCTTTCTGCCAGCATCCATTCAGACTCATTTTGGCCATCTTTTATTGTCATGCACATAACAGGACCCTACCAGACAATTTAGCTTTTTCTCGTCATGTCTCACATGTTTATGCATACATAGTTCCCTACATACGAATATCTTTCCACGTAACGCTGTCAACCAAGAACACATTGTACATCAGTAGTCTATTTCAAGGGCAGCTTCACTCTTATTCTTTTATCAATCTCCCAAACTTGTAACCGTACGTTGTAACACTTGACTAGTGTGGAGTAAAGACATCTTATGGTAGTGTTAGTGATGTTATTCCATAAGACAGTTTATACTTCATGTTTCTCTCCAAGATTATTATTCTTCTTATTTCTTTTTTATTATTTCCCTTTTTGTTGAAAACTATACTCAAATATTTATATTTGTTTACTCTTTTCATACTTCCTCCATTTTTCTGAAGATCTTGTTCTCAACTGATAGGTAATCAGATTTGTCCATGTTAATGGTAACCCTGGCTTTAAAACAGTGTTAATGGTAAAAAAAGAACTTGAACACACCAAGAATAGAATACCAAGGAATAGCTACATTTTAAATGACGATATGGGACCCCCTCCCCAAAAAAACTAACAATCTCTTGCAATTTTCTCATAAAAGATATACATATCCATCTATAATAATTATAGAATCTGCACTTATTACAGAATATTTATCTTTGTCAACAGAAGGTACTTGAGATTTTCGCCCAGAACAAATTCACAAAGACAAGTCAAGGTTTTGAACTGAGCCCAGTCAAGTTTAGGTTTCAGGAAAATAGGTAAAGCACTTCTTCAAGTTACTGCTAGACCAGCTGGAAAATTGCTCTAAACTATTCAGAAGAAATGCAGCTCATGATAAGCTACCACTAAGCGTAATAGTTTTCAAGAGTAAGCACATTTGGGATTCTTGATTAACAACTTTTGACAGAGAATATCCTGGAACAACCTACGCTGCAACACAAAATGAATTGTACGTGGCTTCCCCTCTTTCTAGTTTATAGGTAAATGCAATGTATTTTTATTTTTCAAACAATTTTTTTAGCTGATATAGAAAAGATTTTTTATACACCCATTGTATAATTTTTGTATTAGATGGCTGCAACTCACAGTGTAATGATAATCATTATGATACAGCTTCGCAATAGTGCAGGTGTTTGACCCTCTCACAGAGAAATTTATAGTTGTGAAGACTTAACTTGACTCATGTACTGCCTCTTTTAACTAGATCAGTGGGATCAGTGGCCTCTTTACAAGTGAGTGTTGGTTTATATATACTGTACTGCTTGTTTGAAGTCAGACTGTGATTATGCGTAACAAACGCCATCTGGTACGCCTGTAACTCTTTGCTAGTTGGCATTGCTTGAACACTGTACATATTGCAAGCTAGCTGACACATAACCGTTCAATGTAAAAGTTTCACTCATAATAGGTATTACTAGTCTCAGAAAATTACTGTTTGAAGCACTGCGTAATGGGTATTAATACACTCATATGAAGTTTACAATATCCACACATACACCCACAACAATCACAACCACCTCACCAGAGAAGAGCTTAGAGCTTGTCTGGGCTGGGAAAGACACCTGAAAAGGAAATTGCTCACAAGTCAATGTGTAGGTTGGTGCTGGATCTCATCATCCACGGGGGAAAGCACCACCTCCTCTCAGTATAAAAAACACACTCATCTATCAGGACCAATGACCACACCAATCAACAAACCCAGAATCATCCATCAATCACACAAAAATGTAAAAAGACAACTCAAGTATTGGGGGGGGGGAACAACAACAACACAAAAATGCACACTTCTTTAGAAACTTTGCAACATATTACATTGTTTGTTACTTTTATTACCCAACCCAGTGGCTTAACATTCAGGCCTGCAAGGCCCACAATGCAGACAGGCCCAGGTAAATGAGGGCCTGTTTTTAGGATGAATAATTTTTTTTTGATTTGTGGGTGGGCTCGCACTCATTTTGTTATGCTACTGATCCAACCATAATAGCATTAACGAAAATTTAATGATAACCATAATGATTATAACGGTAAGGATTATATGAGTTTGAAATCTTGAAAAGAGAAGGAGGGAGTAAGCATGCAACCAAATAGGCTTTTTAAACCCTTGTACTTCATGCTTTAGAAAGCTTGCAAACAATATTGTATTTGATCACCAATCTACATTATTATCCTACTACTATTTCTTATCTTTATATTTTGTTACTTTCATTTTACATACACTACAAGCAATTTGTATACTACAGGCTTACATTGTAATTACCATACTAAAGGGATTTCATGTAAAATAAATAAATAAATAAAATAAAATTAAAATAATATAATTTATATTTGCTAAATGTACTTCAATTTGTTTTCAAATTATGAAAATCAGTATTTTATGGGAACTACATTTAAAAAGAAATATTCCTCAATACAAAGCTCTCTGGGTATTTTTGGGTTTTATTCATCAATTTGCCTAGAGTACATCTGGCAAATGGAAAAATAGGAATAGGTGTAATGGGATTTAAAAAAATGTAAACTGATACTAAAAAAAATTGTTTCTTTAACATTTGTGTGAAACATTCCTGGTAAATATATTTAAATCTAGCAAACAAATTGTCTTTTTTACACAACAAATATGATTTTCAACTGTAAAATGAAAAAAAACTTCAATGGTAAGGACATGTACTGAGAATACCAGAAGAGATGTAAGAATATAAAAAAGTATACAAATAAATACCTACATAGAGAAGACGACAGGGCAGACCATCAACCCCATGGAAACAAGGAATACTGACTGCAAAGGCAACAAGTAATTTGACAAGAGGAAGATTTAGTAGACAGAGAAGGCTGGAAAAGAGGAACTGATAAACATCGCCAGATGTAAACCACTCGGAGATATATAAATATAATTTTCAACATAAATATTTTTTATCCCAAATGGCCCTTTTGACTGTCTTATTCCGCTACCCTCTTCGTCAACTTCAAAAACTTTGTTGTTCAGAAGACGTTGCAACCATTGCAAGTGAGTTCTTTGACTTTCCTTGATATTGCTTTATTCTACTTTCAAATTCATATCTTTGTTTTGAATGCTTGTAAAAATATTGATTATTCTCCATAACCTGCTGGACTACATGAAGCAAAAGAATTTTTATCAGTGTGTTTTTCATAACTCACTCTTGCCACTGGAATGATTCACTAAACATTGTAATCAACCTCTATTAACAGGCCTTTTAAGGTTTCCTCTAGCTCTAGTGATTTACAAATGAAAATAAATTCACATCCATGAGAGAAGCACATGAGCATATAATTTGCCCTTTCACAATCAATAAGGTGGACACTCATTTCCTGAAACAAATTTCCCTGATTTTTTCTGATCATTCAGAGCATTTTACAAATATTTCACTGATAAGATTTGTGGAGTTTTTCACACTATTTAAGGAAAATATTAAAGCAAGCCTGAAACTAATGTCAGCTCTCTGATTTTGTTGTGATAAAATGCATAATAAAAAGCTCAAGCAAGAGAAATTGAGCAAAAATTACTGCTGTGCTTTTTTTAACTTTTTAAAAAAAATTAATTAATCTGTAATTCCCTAAACATCTCAAAATGTTCTCTGACTTCTAATGATGCTTTCACAACTTACCCGATTTTTCCAAAGCAATGAAATTCCTTTATTTTTCCTGGTTTAGCAGAAAGTGGCCACCTTGTCAATAAACAATTCTAACAAGAAGTAATTCTCTTGACAAGACATACAAATCACAAAAAAGGAATAGCAGAATTAATCATGCATCGACACTAAAAACCAATTCAATAACATTTGCAACAGCAAAAAGTAATGCTATTTACCCACCATTCACAATACTGCAAGAGTGTTTCCCTTTCATATCACATGGTCAAGTTCAGGATACGTAAACTTAACAGAATAGAACTTCATGGAACATATGACACTAATTTTTAAACATTTTGCACTTCTTATAAATAATTACAATGCAGTATTTCGATTCTGAGGAAAAATATTACAAAAAATTGTCATTGTGTGTTTTTTCTAATAAATATTTGAGTTCATGAAACTGACTACAGGGAAAGATTTGTAGAAAGATAAAAATTGAAAAATCGAAAATATTCGAAAAGAATTTCTGAGGTTGTGATCTAAAATGAAACTCAACTCATCTTATTTACACATTTTACAATTTGAAACGTGTCAAATTGAACAACAAGGGAAATTGCATGTAAGCTGCTGTAAGTAATTATTGAAGTTTTTGAAAAATAAATTAAATGTCAATAAAAAAAGTTTTGATGCATTAAAATGCTTTGAAAAATGGAACAGAAATTATTTTGGGCCCACTTCCCTGAATTGCACGTACTGAAGTATAACTTGCCAAATTCAAGACATCAAGGTAGTTGGTCAATATTACCATTTCTGATTAATCCAAAGAACATCCATCTGCAAAATTATCAGGTGAATTATATTCATTTTCTTTATAAATGTAAGGCCAACCTTCATTAAACTTTCCTAAAAATATACATTATTTGCATCCCTTGTTGACAAACATTTTTGAACTTTTCTGTGAAGATATCATGAAAAGGATTTTAAAACAATAAGACAAAACACACTTAGATAAACAAAATTCTCAAAACACAATGAACATGGGGCAGTTAGAAGCTGCAGAGATCACAGATTGAAATATAATCAGCAGAAAGCCACTTGTCAAGCAGTGAATTTGGCAAACATTTTGGGGCAAACGATGTGCTTACACACAATATCAAGTTGAGTATCTACACATTCACTATAAGTTCTTACACATACATTATGTACAATGGCCACTGAACATGTAAATAATTACAGTGAAATTCTAAAAATTCAAGAGAGAAAAAAAAAGAATACACAAATAATTTGGTGCCAAACTTACCACACAATGCTGCAAGTATTCTAATGTCAAATTTCAAACTCAAGATTCTTGGCAAATTTTTGGAAGGTTCACCATTCTGGATTAATCCAAATAATTTACCTGCAAATTAGTAAAAACTTTTGTATTCAAGTTTAAAAATATTATGTAATTAAATTTGCAGAATCTTTTAAGCATACATCAGAAATTTAGAATGAATTTTTGTCACAGCTGAAATACTAAATACTATTGACCTTTCATCACTTCTGCATAAAATGCTTACACTACTATCACTTGGCAATTAGATTCCATCTAAATACCATTGCTCTATTAAAAATAATTTTCTGATAGTAAATTTCAATTTCTTTTTGAAAATCTCAGTTATTCCTTTCTGTAGGTAACTAACTCTCAATATTGACTTTCACTTTTTATTTCAAAGATGTTATTTCCCATCCCTCAAATGTCTACAAGATCAAGAAGCTATTCCAATATGTCCTTTCAAAATTTAATTTTATAAAAGTAACAATTCCAAAATATTTTTCCCCCTCATTTCTATTCACGTTCTTATTTTGGTTTCCATACTGTCCTTGCATTGAACTAAAGCACACCTAGGCCACTAAAAAAACACAAGAAAAATTCCATTTATATACTAATAATTATTATAACTTAAATTAATAAAATAATAATTAATATATTAAAATTCAATATTATAACAAGCAAACCAATGCTATGTTTTAAAAAATCTAAATGATGTAAAATAGAAACCTTAACGTCCAAAATGTAAAGAATTACTTAATATAACAGTAAGAAAACATTCTCCTTTTTCAGAAAAATGTAGGAAACACAAAACATTTAATTCATAATGTAAGGTAAACGTTGATTTCAATGGAAATATTGTTAATTAATTACAAACTTTTTCTCAGCTCTATTTTCATTTATTCTACCATTTATTAATTTAATTTATTTCGTAGATTTTCATTTTAAAAAAACAGTAAAAACTGCATGACACATGGTAACATGTGGGAGAAGTATATCCTACACGTTTTTGAGAGCTCCAGAATCCATCCCCCATTCTTTTACTATTAATTATTATTACTATACCTATTATATATTATAATTACTTTTATTAAAAGTTTTCTCGAAGGAAGTAGATAGTTCGCACTGTTCATGGCCAAAATTCATTGATAAAAACTTATTATCTTGACAACGGTTTTTCAATAAAAAATCAGGGACATGAAAATGATAAAACAAATAAGAAACATAGGACACAATACTTGAAGTTTTCTTGAAAACAGTCTAAAAAATTATAAACTGATTTTGCTACAAGATAATGCAACCATCTTCAGAGTTTTTGCTATTTTATTCAATTACTAAATTAAATTACATGGTTCTGACTCAAATCCATTCAATTTGATATCATTACATAAGAAATTTGAGTAATTTAATTAAAGACGAAATAATGGGTGAATGAAAACAAGAATTTCATTGCATTAATTGAACTGAATTTCACTCCTCTGCTATCTTTTTACACTTATAAGGAAAACTTTTTTCTCAGAACCACAACTTATAGCAAAAGATGTTTTTGTTGATTTCATAATCACAAAACAATGAGATTAATAATAATGCACCGTATAATTTAATAATTTCTGTGTTATTCCTGAAAAAAATAATAATATATAGTACATGACAAAACGTAGTAGTCATGTACTTGCTAGTGTGCATCATACAATTGTCATAAAGAAATATATAACGTATGGGAGGGGAGTATAATCTGTGTGAGATTTCTTGAGCTCCATAATCCATATCCCACTTTTTTTATTACAAGAGCGTTTTTTGGCAACAAGAAAAATTCATAGCCTACAACCTACCACACAATACTAGCAGGTTTTCTAAAAATCTGTCACAAAAATTATAAACTGATTTTGCAACAAGATAATGTAACCATCTTCATATTTTTTAATATCTTATTTAATTCCTAAATTGAATGACATGATTCTTGCTCAAATCCATTCAACTCGATATCATTACATAAGAAATGTGTGTAATGTAATTACAGATAAAATAATAAATGGATGAAAACATAAATTTCACTCCATTAATCTAAAATCTATTTTCAAATTTAATCTTAAAATCTATTTTACTCTTCAGCCACCTTTTTACACTAGTGAAAACTTTTCTCAGAGCTGAAACTTTTTGTGCAAAAAATGTTTTATTTCATTTTCACAAAGCACCATACAATTTAATGGTTTCCTGTTATGGCTGAAAAAGTTATACACATGACAAAACCAAAGAAGTCATACACTAGCTAGTTAAACAAAAAATATTTGACGTATGGGAGGGGAGTATAATTTGGCTAAGATTTCTAAAACTTCATAATTCACATCCCTCTTTTCTATTACAAGAACATTTCTAGCAACATTTAATGATAAGAAAAAATCGTATCCATGTAAAATTGAAATTAAAATTTAAAAAAAAAAGCTATTTACATGTTTAGCATCAACAAACGAGCAGGTATTGCTGATTAAAAAACTAACCCGGAGGAAGGGGCATTCGTCCTCTAGAGAAACCAGAGCTATACAAATTTTCAACAAAAGGAAATCGAGTATTATCTTACTTCTTTTTCAAAATAACTAAAAGCAAATACTACGAGTAATAATCATTATTTTTATTACACCCATTTGCTAACCATTACCAAATAAACACCATTAACATCACACACAAAAAAGCCAACAACCAGAAGTGATTACGATTTGATATTATTAATTTTTATTACACGACCGTTAAATCCGCCGTTTCTTTGCAAACGGAAGTATCGTTTCAGAATCCGGAAGGATGAAAAACTTCCAAACAACGAATATCCACGTTGACACTGAACGAAAACTCCAGTTCGTTTCCACTCCCTGAACTCGTACCAAAGATTCATACTATGCGCCCTTGGTGGCATATTTCACATCGACACCAGAACCAGACGGGTTTCCCGCCAGCCAATCGCAGCAGCTATATGTACTCTCTGCTCTTGGCGAGATGATCAAATGCCTATTGTTGCCAGACGTACCAGGATCCAGGATCAAACCTACGCCATCCAAAACTGTTATTGTAATAAACAATATTGTTGGCAATGGCGACTCATATAATTATTTCATTGTAAATGCCAACGAAAACTCACCACAATACCAGTATGTAAAATATGACAATTTCTGTCTGACGCTTCAACTACCATTTGAAAAATTCTCTAAGAAACGAATCGCGAAAAATACATTTTTTATTTATTTAAACGTTTAAACGAAAAAATCTTTCTACTTTTGAATTCAGTGTATTTACGTTCAACATAAATGTACCAACGATGCGCGATGCATATTTTAGCCGAAAATAAAATTATTAGTTTATGTTAACGAGAACCATCATTATCGCTTTCTGTTATCTGTTCAATTAAGAATAGATTTAATGATTATATAATATTAAACGTAATATTTATTTTCTACGTTTGAATTACAACCTCCAAGCCCCTTTTTCCCACTCCTTATATTAACACCAGAAAAAAATGTAAATCCACTATTTACATCCACAATGTCGATTCACTCGTATATCCGGGTTGTCGATACCACCTTCTCTCATCCTTTCTTAAGCCCGCTATACATGGTCATTTTTGCATCATTTCTTCATCATTTTTCTGTACAGAAAGTGGATGGAAAAAGGATGTGCGTTTGTTTCGGTACCGAAACTGGATGAACGTGATTCCGATGTTTTAAACGATCATTTCTGCTCTGTATGCAATCGTGATGAAAATACTTCCTCCACACGCCGCAAAAAGCGCTGGAAGTTAAACAGTTGAACATCGCACGTACGTAAACAATTGCAATACGCGGGAAGAATGATGAGATTCGCAGTGAAGGTGGTAGATAGTGTGTGAAGTATTGTGATTTTTGAGTTGGAAATGGAAAGGAAATCAGTGACACTCAACCTCACGAAATCACAACCAAAACAGCACAAAACGCTCTAACGTTCGAACAACTCGCCAGGGCACGGAATCGAAGAAAGTTCCATAGAGTAACACCAGGAGCGCCATAGTCAAACTGGATGCAATTTGTACGGAAAAATGAAGCATGCTTCATTTTTACGTACAAATTGCATCCAGTCTGGTCAGTAACTTGTCTGTACCGACGAGAAATGATGCAAAAATGACCGTGTAAAGCGGGCTTTAGAAGCACCCCCTGACAATGAGAGATTATTCTGTGAACTTCCCGCCGTATCGCGACGTCCCTAATGTTAAATTGCAACACCATAACCAGAGTTGCCAAATACCTGAAAAGGAATCTAAAATTATCGTACGTTAAATGAGGTTGTGTAAAATTATTTTCAATAGCATTTTATAATTAAAACTATAATTATAATTAAATTAAGTAAATTATAATTAAAATTAAAGTCAGCAATACCGCGCGTATCAATAAAAATCAGAAATCATAGAATTTGCAAAGGTCTCTACGCCCTGAATGGAATGCTCGAAGGAATTAATATTCCAAATTAATCGATATCACTTTGCTCTTCAAGCAAATGCTTGCGAGAAATCATTTTGTCTTCGCAATATTTATAATGGTTACGATATATGCATTTATATTGCAACTTAATATAGCTATAAGTTTTCGCACTTCAAGTTCTTTGATTAGTAATAATAATAATAATAATAATAATAATAATAATAATAATAATAATAATAATAATAATAATAAACATCAATAATATAAAGTTAAACAATAAAAAGGGATTTCCAGAATATCCAACTGCCTCCAAGCATCTCTCAAATTACTTTTACAAACTGACTTCAAACGTTGTGCTGGCAATGCGAATTTACCATGTCAAATTCTTGTCCAATTTACGCCAAAAATACTCATATTTTCGAAAAAATTAGCACGACATTATTTGAAGATGTCTTTAATAAACAAACGTCAACAAGCAAAAAATATTAATTGTAGTTGTATGAAGACGGCAAAAATTAGAATTTTTGAAATTTTCCAAAATTAGATATTTTATCGAACATGAGACCTTCATCAATCTCTTAAGCAAATTAGTGTCATCAGCTGATATCTGACTCACTTAATTCTTTACAGTCACTCACTAGCTTCA